TATTATAAACAACCGAACGCGGTAACATCCAATTCCAACCAACAATAGCATTAAACCTTCAGAGGCTCTAAATAGCCTTAAAACAGCCCCTGGAGTAAACATTTCAAGTATCAATAACCAACTATATCCCAACCTCAAGTTATACACTTTAGATCTTGATTATCCTATTTACACTTTCTTGTGCAGCCCTCTGTTCAACCCCTGTTTTACCACACTTAGACTCAGATTTAGCCATTGACCTAAATAAAGTATCCTCTTAAAGCTTTCTAATGAAACTAAACTCACATTTTTAAGATTTTTCTATGATTTGTTATGAATTTTTAACACAGCAGCATCAAAGCTGTCAAAATCCAGCTTTATAACTCACTGCTTGTTGCAGATTTTACCCAATTTAGCTTCAAATTCACACATTAATCAACATTATCTTTTATAATTTTTCAAATGCAGAACCTAGCCTCTAATTTAATACTTCTACTTGAAATAAACTTGTAATTAGAAGCATACCTTTGATGATTAACACATAATCCTCAAGAATCTAACATGGATCATCAAGGATTGAAGGATTAGTCTTAAGTGTGTGTAAATCGCACCTTGAGTGTGAGAGTTCTAGAGGTGAGAAAATATGATTGATTTAGAGAGCTAGGCATGGTTTTGACCTGTTTTGGTCAACAGTCCACCTAGTTTGCCATAGTTGACAGATTTAGTCCCTCATGCGTAACTTGGTCGTTTCAGCTCCGTTTCGCACGAAACTTTCCAGATCTCCTAATTGATATATAAGAAACTTAAATATAAAATTCCAGCCTCTAACTCGATCCAGAAGTCCAAATTCCAATCTAACTTTTGTAAGTACTAATCCCTAAAATAGTATACTAACTTAATTAATCATAGTTAGCAACCTAAATGGACTTTTAGAAAGTTGGATGTTACATTTTCCAAGACAGATCTACCTAGCATCGGGGTCGGTGTAAGTGTCGAGGGTGTCATCTACAAAAATTACAAGGTTTTAATTTAGTACTTTCGAAATTTGATTCTTTAATAAAATTAATTTCCCTTAAGTTATTAAACATTAATTTTTATTAAAGTTAAGATCCATAAAACCCTTTCGTTTGTAACTGGCGGAGGTACTGATTACAAGTTTAAGTTATTTAGGTAGGTGACGGTTACCAATTACATCACATATGCAACTCCTAATTCTTTATGGGATCATATGACAACATTTTGTTATTTTAGGCATGTTTATCCCATCTATGCCAACTTTCTTTTATAATTGGCGGAAGCACTATTTATAAGATCGAGTTCTAAGTTGTCTAAAAAAATTGTGGTCCTTGGCCCATGATTGTCGTCGGAAGCGCAAAACTTATTTCACTTGTTGGATTTAGAACTTCAAAAACCAATTTTATAAAATTCAAGTTACGACCATTTTTAAATTTTAAATAAAACGATTTTATTAAAGCTTCCAATTATAGAGTTTGATGATTACTTTTAATACTCAATTTTAATTTATTAAAACTTATTAAAATAGCGTTCTATAAAAAGACGTTGAGTTGAAAAAACGATATTTTACTAAAACTTATTTTAGTTACATTTTTTTATAAAATTACACCAAACTCCAATTTAGGATTCAAAGGATTTTAAAAAACATTTTCTATCATACAAAATCCTATTTCAACCATGCATATATATCAACATATATATGTATATATATATATATATATAACGTAAATAAAAATATGTGCATGACAAAACTTTATTTCTAACCGGGTTTCTGTGAGCCAACACAAAATCCGAGCCAACCCTAAAGGACAATAAATATCCAAGTCATCTCATGACGATATTTGAGTTCCCACTTGACTTGCCATCTAGTAAAGTAAATTTGAAGCTGTATCTTCAAGTCTTATCACATTTTAAAGAAACAAAATACAAGATCTAGTCTAGTACTTTTACATTCTCCAAAAATTAACAAAACGACTTATTATTATAAATCCATGAAATAATATTACAAACATTCAACACAAGGGGTAAATGTTTGCCATGCACCCACAAACAACATATAAACAATATATATATATATATATATATATATATATATATATATATAACAACCATCGCAACTGAAATGCAATAAAAAAAGTTGTAATAAAAAATGTCAGGACAAAAGAAAATCCATATCTTTTCTAATAAAAGAAAAGTATCAAATTTCTTTTGATCAAGAAATACAAAAAAGTCACTGATAAAAAAAACGTTTTCTAAGTCATGCATGATCGACTCTGATACCACTTATGAGATTTGTAGAAAATTTTAAAATAATATTATCAAATATAGCAACGGAAGCATAAAATAAACCAACAACGATTTTCAGAAAAACTCCCAATAAGGATCACTACAAAAATGCAGAGTATCAGCGAGGGAAAATTCCCTCGCTGATCCGTCGCTGAAAGGGGTTTCCGTCGCTGATCCGTCGCTGATACTCCGTCGGTCAAACAGTCGTAGGTAATGCTATCAGCGACGGATCAGCGACGGAAATCA